AGCATAGAAAAGGAATTCACAAACTTACTGTGAAGCAAAACTGAGCTTGCACAAGATAAGCATGCTTTACTGAAAGAGAATAATCTAATGCTTCTCTGTCTCTCCTTCCAGTGGAGCAAACACCCAGGCTGCAGATTGCCCAGTGTATGTTCATGCAAATAGGACCTCTGTCTTTCTGCTTTCTAGCACATCTTCAGGAAAACTGAGGAACACAGGTTGACATGGCAGTGACAGAGGTCCAGCAGCATGAAATACGTTGTCATGGTTCTTACATTGGGAGCAAAACCTGTTTGTACTGTGAAAATAAAGCTGAAATTAAACTACTATTGATTTTTTTCCCTTGGAGGCATTTAATGATCTCTTGCTAACGTTCCATTCAGAGTATAATTACTGTATGTAAAGTAATTACGGCTCAGCTATGTATAACTGGGATGAAGCTCAAATCCCTTTTGCGGGTTTAATCAAGCTCCAGCCATATCTCTTCTTCTGTGGATCCTTTCATTTTAGGTGTAGAACTAGAAAGCATTTCTCTGTGGCATGATTTATTTGTACCTGTAATTTTGCCTCATCTAATGTTTTAGGATGAACTGGTTGTCAAGAGAAGGGGATGGTTGGAACCAGCAAAGTGAGATCACTTCTCTCTATCAAACCAGCACAAATGTTAAATGCAGTTTTAATCCTCAGTGATTTTTCCATGCAGCTGCTCTGCACCAGGGACCCATCTGCCCTGAAGGCTATGCCAGGGGTTCAGAGCAAGAAAGGAGGGTTCATTTGTTAAAAGAGCCGTATTTGCTTCTTGCATTCAGTTTAATTTACAATGTTTCTTCTCGAGTGTTTGCTTAAAGCCAGCTGTTATTGGAGAACAACTTTGAATAGAGGAAATGACTAGTGTTGTCTTAAGGCTTCTCAGGAGTGTAACTAGCAGACCTCTCTTCCCTCTCCTCTTTAAACGTGGCTTACTATCTGCATTAAGACTGAATATGTGAAACTGAAGTCTTTCAAACTTATATTATTATTCACATGGTGGTGTAAATTGTTCACAGTGGCTGGCTCTCATCCTTTACTGAGAGTAAATTCTGTGAATCAGATTTTGCAGAGGAGATCACACCAGACTGCTTATATCACAGCACAGATCTCTGTGGGACTTCATTGTAAATACTGCTCACATACTCCTATACAGTTTCCTGAGTTTTAAGTTATTCCTTATCCACACGGAAAGCCTTCCTTGGGTGATAAAGATCAATCAGATTTGCTCAAAACTAAACATTTGTTAATGTAACAGTAAACATTCATGAAGTCCTGCACAAAATCTTGTTTTAAACAGCTTAGTTCTTAGCTACAAACAATGTACTTCTGGATGGAGATGCAAACATGGAACAGTTGTTTAGCTGGGTCTCACAAGTTCTAGTCTAATTGTTCAAAAAAGTGGTATACACACTCAATTCTCCCTTATGTCAAGAAGTCAAGATAAATTTGATATGACTGCAGTTAAGACATTGTGCTTCATTTGTGTTGCAGCTTTGAGTCCTTAAGATTAGTATTGATGTATGAAACAATCAGATTTGTCCTGATCTTTCCTTTTTTCTCCCCTAAACGCAGAAAAGCTTCACTGGCCTAAGACAGAGTTTTCTAGGAAATCAGTCCTGAGTCCAGAAGTACACAAGCTGAACATTAACAAAGAAAACAGCCTCCAGCACCCACCTTCTGGGATCCTAAAGGACATTTTCACAACAGGAACCAGTAGCTACAACGTCCTTCTGCAGAGCAAAGAGGAGAAAAAGCACCACATTCAAAAGCAGTCATCTACTCATCACAAGAAACACAGGAAAACTGCAAAGTGTTCTGCCACCTTGCGAAGCAATGAGCATCGCAAAATCAAAGTCCCCCTGCCCTTGCTCAGCAGCGGGTGGTACTGCACAAACAGACAACCCTCCATCATCATCACCAGCCCAGGATCTACCAGCAGGAAGTTTACAAACAGCGTTTCAGTTGCAGGGAGCAGCATAGGACTGCCACCTCGACCCAGAAGTAGAACTAAAAAGCATTTTAATCTAACAAAGCCAAAGCAATCCCAGTCCTCAAAAAACAGTGGAAAAGAAGGTGATGCCTCTGGCCAAAAACTCTGTTTACTGACTGCAATCAAGCCCTCCAATGTGGAGAAAGAGAAGATTAAATTCTTCAACTCAGATTTCACATACAATCCTCAGTTTGAATATGAAAACCCTGCCCTGCCAAATGTGTTAGCTAAGCACAGCCATGCATCTGACAGATTTCTTAAGCAGGTATTGTTACTTTTTCCCCTCCTTTTCCACTGATTATTTTTTCCTAAACTTAGGTGGTATATGGCTTTGTTTGTAGCAAGTCATTTCTCCTTACAATCCTCCCCTGTTTGAAAAATGCCTCAAAGATGAGAATGCAATAGTAGAACTGAAATAAAATCTTTCTTATTAAAAAAATTAAGCCTCCCTAGTATTTACAAGATTTTATAGAATGAAGACACAATTCCTTATAAATGGGTTTACATGAAACATTATTTAAAGCAAGAAAAATTTTTAGACAAAGAAGTAGAGTCCAGTACAGGAAAAATACAGTGCCTAAGTAGGCAGAGAAATAAAGCAGCCCAGAAATCCTGCCAATCCTCTTGGTGACACAGGGATTGGAAGGGCATAGCAATTATTTGAGGTCATCATTATTAGATAAGCAGATGTTGATGTTCTTTGTTTTAGCCAACTTTGAAAGGATATTTGCAGATAGATTAGACTCCATCAAGCCACAAACAAATTCCGTTCCAGAGGTTGGTAAAATTTACAAAGACAACCCCCCTGCTTTTTTTGGGGTTGGGTTGGGATTTTTCAATAATGTGAAGCCACACTGGTAACATAGCTATAGACATTCCCATTCTATATCACTACCCTGGATTCCTACCTGAGTTAGAAAAAACCCCAAACAACAACAAAAGCTTTGCTTTCACCTTTGACCTAAGTGACAAAACCCAGTACTTATCTATAGCATAGCAGACGCAGCCCTCTTCCCACTTGTGCTATTTTTAAATGGCTTAGAAGATCTTATTTAAGTCTGACAAGATTTTCTAAATAAAGAGTCTTATGTTTCAAGTGATGCTTAACTTGGGAAGACATCCTGCTGTTCCATGAGTTTCTCTTCTTTGTGATACGTATATTTCATTTTTAAAAAAACCCCAAAATGTCTGACAAAAAGCATGCATGAAAGTCCCATGGATTCTAAGAACTGACCCTTGACTTGTGAACAGACTGACCTTTTTTTTTTCCAAAAATCCAAGAATGCACAAAAGTGTTGTCACCCATCAAATCATTGTATTGCTAGTCTTGGTCTGCATTTTCACATTGAAAATATCTGTATATTTTAAAAGTTCAGTTTCTGGGTTTTCATTAAAAAATTGTTTTGTTTGTGAGAACAGAGAACAGCTGATCTGTTCTTAAAGTCATCTTTCATGCTTCTAAACAACCAACTAAATCATACTGACATCAAATATGATTCTCCATGACTAGAATTTTTAACGTCTTCCTTTAATTGTTATGTCAATATCAGCAACATTAGTTAGAGATTACAGAAAATCAACAATAATTAATTTGCCTAACTGAATTTAATACAAGTTATCGCTTTCAGTATGGGCTAGCAGAGCCTTCAAAGTTATTTTCTGCATGATGATTTTCTGGAGCAAACCTGTCATTGCTTTACTCTTCTTTTAATAAAACCTCTACACCTAAATAATGAATATTTTTAATTTAATTTAATGAATAACTTTAATTCCTCAATATTATTCTGATTTGTAACTCTGCCTTATTCCCTGTCCATGAAAAGTATGGGAAAATAAAGGCTTTTTAAGAACTTTATAAAAAGCAGTGGAGGATTTAATATTCAATGAACTATGATATTTCTGAAAATTCACAAGGGAGATGTAAATGGCTTCACAAGATTTAGTTTAAGTTACAGGAAAAGCATTTATTCAAAGTTCAGCTCCTAAAAATAATGAACAAAAATATCTTGCACCTAAGAATAACCAAAACAGGAGCTTTAACAGAGCTCCAAGCCCAGCAGGTGTCACTCTCTCTCTTTTATCTACAACTAGTGTTGGAAGTTTTCATCTCCACGCAAATTTGAATTTAATTTCGTGCAAATTTACTATCCAGAAAAAGCAGCATTAATCAAAATTTTAATCAGCAAGTATTGTAGGAGCACTTGCTTTTCATCATGGCTGTTTTTCTTCCACAGAGATTTTACTTGTCAGAAGAAACACGTTGGTATCTTAGGAAGTTCAGTTCAGGAAAGATGACTTCACTTGCAAAAAAAAAGTACTCACAGTATTAAGAGTCACATCTGCAGTAGAAACACAACTGTGCATAGTCATCCTTTTTGCTGCAACAAGGATAAATTCAGTTTTGTTGATTTTTTTTGAAACATTTTTGTCTTTCATTTATTGCTGTGCTTATTTTAGAAAGCTTTGCTATCTGTGAACAGAATTATTCCTGTTTCATTCTACAAAAGATGATTATGGCAACTTAAAATTGCTTGGTCTTTTGTGAATAAAAAGCTGTAAAACCAGATTTTTACTGACAGAACTCACCATTTTTATAGGAGGCTTTTAGGGTGCTGCAGTGAAACGAGCTCAAAGCCTGACATTTCAGAATTTTAGAGGATTGTTAATCATTTAAAAAATATTTTTACCCACAGCTGTGTATAGCTTGCTAGGACATTAAAACAGATTGTGTTTTCTTACTTCCCTTTCTTCTTTTGTGCATGTGTATGAAATTGGTTAATATAGCATTAGTGCAATATGTCTGGAAGACAAATCACAGTCTGCCCCATTTATTTATTCTTTTAAAGGCAAAGAACACTGGATTTGCAGACCATTAACACAGCAATGCTACAATGGGGAACACATAGACTTGTGAGCACTCTCTTTGCCCCCATGCCTCTACTTAAATCAGAGCCCAACACAGCCCAAGACATTCATTGATTGACTCTTGACATACACAGAGAAAACTTTTTTGAGTTATTACTACATTTGAAAAATATGAATTTTAATGTTTTTCTTGTCATACTTTGTCTCTTTGTTTCTCTCTTTCTACTTTATGCTATTTTCTTCATAATGTGGCTTTCCATGAATCACACAATATGTGCCTTTAGGGAAGTGAACTTGAGAATGAAACATAGCATGCAGACTTGCAGCTTTTCACATTGATTGACATATCTGCTATTACAGAAATTAATTCTCTTATTGCTGTGTTTCAAGGTCACTGCAGCAACTATGTGCTCTAAGTGCTATAAAAGTTTTCTGACACAAACAACTTGGCCTTCATTGTTAAGCTGCTTTACACTTAAAGTGTTTGTTATTTTTGCTCAGAAGCTAGAGGTGGCAACACTTCCTTAGTAGTTTGCAGAGCAGATGACTTAACAGTTGCAATTTGCTAAACCAAAACCAGCATGTTGCAGCTTTAAGTAACTTGTTTCTTAAATTGTACAAGAAGGCAAAAAAAATCTATTTCTATATACATATATTTTAAAAAAACCCAACCCAAACCCCATAATTTTGTTGAATGAGTAAACCCCCCATGAAAGAGTTGTACATCCTTTACCCTTCTACTCATAAAAATGTAGCAGTTTTGAGTTAATAAACTAGTTAAGCCACATTGCAAGTGTCTGTGTGACACAGCTTTTAAGGAAGCAATACTAGTAGCCTACAATTAGCAAATTTATCACATGCTGGAAAAAAAAGTTAGGTGGAGCTGGAAGGCTAAACAGCATTACATTCAACAATGAGTAATCCTTTGCTATGCCCAAGTGATGTCACAGTTTAGGCATGTCCAAGACTCAATAACATGACACTGGCTGTGAAGAGCACTAAATTGTAAGACATTTCATTCTCCACTAGTAACAAATCCCCTCCTTAACTAAGATTTATAGATAAGAGTATCAGGCCATCCAAATATCATGAATTTTCAGGATCTAACACAAACTTCTCTCTTCCACTAGAAGAGAGCATAGATCACTTTTGGTGATACTACAGTAGGAGCATAGGTTTATTTCAGAATAGTCTTGTACAAGACCCAAGTGAATATTAATTTTAAATTCCTTACAAAGTAATTTAATAACTTTTCACTAAAAATATTTCTACCAGCCCCAAATTACTTAAACACTCTCCTTATCCTCCTGAGAACAAGCATGCAAAAGAAAAGCCACTCTCAAACCACTGAATAAAACTCAAAATACTTCAGCCTACATAAACCAACCTCAAAAATCCACACTCACCTCCCTCCCACTTCAGCCAAGCTGCCACTATTTTATGGCTGTTGATTAGGCTAACATGTTCCATCTGGTACCTCTTACTGTTACCTAATGATGTAGCTGGGAAGTTTTTTTCCCCCAGCAAATAAGCTGTGCAGGGAGGAAAGCAATGGTGTCTGTAAGTCTTGTCTTGTAAATCTCGGCAGAGATTGCAGTCCTTTTGTAGCAGAGCTGCTTCTGAATGTAGGGTGAGCTAATTGAATGTAGAGGGCTGACTCCGAGGTCACTAAGCCCTTTTTCTGACTTGGTTGCCTCAAACAACTCATAAGCAGGTACAGTACATATCTCTAAGGTAACTCAAGTAATTAAGCTGTGTTGTGGCACATGGGTGAGTTGGGACTCGGAGACTTCAAGTAATTAAGATGTGTTGCTGCACATGGGTGAGTTGGGACTCGGAGACCTACTTGACTGTAAATAATTTGTTTTTAAAAGCTAACACCACCATAACTTAACCGGTCAATTAAGCAGCCTTGTCTTGCTCTTGTTAGTGCTTCTGTGTCATTGCTTTGGGTCAATTAGGCAGCCTTGTCTTGCCCTTGTTAGTGCTTCTGTGTCATTGCTTTCTTGAGCCTCAGTAGAGTTGCTGTGCAAGGGAGCTTGTCTTGGGACTGCTGCTACCTCTGCAACTCTTTGGTAGTGATAAGAGGTATTGAAGTAGACCTTTCAGGTAAGAATGAAAAGAATAGGAATTACTACCTGGTACAGCCACATAATTCTTTTCTTCATTGTTTTTCACCTATTGATGAAGAGTTTACAGTTTGCCCTTAGGAGCTGTGGCAACACCTGTGCTTTGGTGACCCAGAGGCTGGAAAATAAGTTCACAGTCAGATGTTGGAATAGGCAAGAACTGGCATGCTGGTCTGGATTTTTCCCTTTCCTAGCAAGTTCTTGCAACACCTGACTGAGTCATCTCACCTTGTAGACAGGTGCAGAACCCCAAATGAAGGGCTTAGTGTTGTATTCGGTGCCTAGAAACCAAACAGTTTCCAAACCTTTTCCCATCAGAAACCACCTCTGTCTCAGGTGGTTGTGGCAAGAAGTGTCAAAGCCAGCAACATCACTGGGAATGGGGCCTGTGCCAGTGCCAGGGTGATCTGCTGCTCCTCAGAGATTTGTGTGCTCGTGGCAATGTGTGTGTGTGTGATGACTCTCCCTGTTGTTTCAGGGCTTCCAGAGCCACACCTGCCCAGTTGCAAAGAATTATTGGGACTTTCACTTAAAACAGAGTCAAGAGAGGTGATAGGGGCGAGTATGTTTCTTAGTAATTTCTAAATATGTGTTCAGAATTGAAGAAGCTTAAACTTAATGACATTCTCAGTATGTATGAGTTCAGACTTGCAACACCTGTTTGGACATGTCTGGAATGCCAGGATGTGGGTTACTCAGCATGGCACATAAGGTAGAGGAAGCACCCTTTAGTATCCCAGCCTTCCCCTTGAAGCTGTGAACTGCATCAAGTAGAGGTGGGAGAGGCCAGAGTGGGTCTGTGCTTTGTCAGGAGGCTCTATCTCCAGAAACCTGCTATTTGTATTGTGCTGTTGATTCAAGTGGCTCACAGCATTTTAGGAAAGTCTTCAACAGCCCAGGAAGAGTTTGGGAAGGTACCTGCAGGCAAGCAGACAGAGTTAGAACTTGAGCCTCCTGACTTGCAAACTCATGCTGCCTCCCTTAGCACAGAGGTCTCAGGTCTAGGGATTTTGCTGTTAGACAGCCAAGCAGGAAGATAATGTGCATTCAGTGCTCATTTTCTCACTGTTGTGATGAGGTGGTTTTAGAAATTACCTACACTCTGACTAACATAGGAGAGTCCTCTGGGAGAACACCACCGATGTAATGCTGCATTTCAGAGTAGTAATGTCTTTATAAACAGCATCAAAATAGAGGACTGATTAATAAAATTTACAAGCCTTTCTCAAGCACCCTTATTTTTATGAACTTTCACATTGAGAAGAAACTGCCCCCTTGCTCTCAAATGGTTTTGGCAGTCTTCTGCTTCATCAAACCTGCACTCATTAACCACTACTTTACTGTAATCTGCATTCTAGATTTGTCCTACTTTTTTCAAAATGTCTGTAAAGTATCTTTGCTATTCTTTGAGCTTACTTTTTGTCTTTTGCTACCTGTATTGGTATCCTGGGATCCTTCAGCCTGTGAATCTCACTTGCCTATTCTTCTTCATCCAAAGGCTTTGCCATCACATTGTTGGAAAAGCTTTTTTTTCATTGTTTGATATGAAACTGAGCTGGACCTGATGATTGGTTTGCTGAGAGGCAGGATAGATGTAAAAATGTAGTGGCCTTGTTCTCACTTCTTTTGGGAACCCAACAACAACCACACAATTCTTTAGCTGTGGCCAAGTGTTGCTGTAGAAAGGAGTGCTGGTTCACCTAAGGCATCATTGTGCCTGGGGGCCTACCAGCAATTCAGCTCATGCATGGACCCTTTACAGCACTTGAACCAATATTCTGGTCTTGCTTGATTTGCTGGTGGAGAGGTGTAGCCTGAGTGCTGGATACTTCCTGAAAGATGCCTTAAAAACCCTTCAAAAGGAAAGGAACAAATCCTGGTGGCTTTTGAAAATAACATCCATCCCACAGTTCCTGCAGTGAGTAACTTTCAGGGAATTTAAAGCCAAACCTTTCCACCCACAGAATCTACTGTGTTTAAGTCACGTTACTGGAAACATTTAAGAGGAATTGTTGTTCTGTACAACCATACATCTGAAGATAGAAAGACCTATCTCAGAAAGTGCAGGTGTGGGGAACACCATGTAGCATAGCTGCTGCAGGGATTACAGTTCTCTGGCATGGACTGTTGTATCTTAATTCTTCATCTCACTGTGATTTTTATGAAATACTATTAATTAGAATGGTTTTTTCCCCCAGAGTTTATTACTGAGAGATAAAATTGTCCATGGGAAGAGGTGCAGAGAAAAGAAAGGTTCAGGAGGCAAAACACAGTGCTGCTGGGCAGCAAGTTCCTTTAGGAATGAAAGTGGCTGGTGCACTTCCAAATGAACTTAGGTATCCAAGAATTTAAGTGAGTACTTACTGTTTAATCTAATAGACTTAACTGAACTTTAGTATCAACAAGTTGTGAAGATGAATTTCATGCTAGAAGATTAATTCAGAGATTAATTCTTTCAGAGTGAGCAAGTAAAGTTAATTGCTTGTTCAGAGAAACCAGATGCACCAAACAACTAGTAGATAACATAAATATCTTAAGGATCTGGCACCCAGCAAAGGAAACTGAAGAACTGTTGTCATGGATTGCTCAGGCTGCTGGCTGGAAATAAACATCCTGGGAAAGGGGGTAGGAATATTTGGTTGCTTCTTTAACCATGGGTTTTGTATAAGGCAGGAAAATAAATGCCTCAGCTTTTGCAGACACTGAAAAAATTATAAAGAAGCCAATGTTTTTGGAAATTAAAATTTGTACGTAACTGAAACCTGAGAAAAATCATTTGCAAAAGTATACAAGCTATTAAACAATGATTAGATATTGCTCTGATTTGTTCTTTACATCTTGCCCTCCATATTAAATTTTGCATTTGTCAAATACCTACAGCAGCGAGTTGTCAAAATGATGCCTGAGTTGCCCAGTTTGCACCAGATGAGGGTGCATCCTCTATTTTTAATACATTCATCTTGAAAAACAAGATGTGATTTTAAGTCATAGAAAGACATTGCAGTTTTCCCAGCAGCAGTCCCATCCCATCACCTCTTCTCTTTAGGATCAGTGTGATTTATTTTCTCTGCAAATGACCAAGCCAAATGCCTGCAAGGTGCCTATTGATTCTCCTGGAAGTTACCATTTCACTGCTAAGTGGGGCTGTGTAACACACGTGTGCTGGTTTGGGCTGGGGTAGAGTTAACTTTCTGCACAGTGGCTAGTATGGGGCTATGGTTTGGATTTGTGTGTTGGTAATGGAGATATTTTTATTATTGCTGAGCAGTGCCTAGACAGAGCCCAATGCCTTTTTGGCTTCTTGTACTGCCACGCTGGCAAGGAAGTTGGGGATGTGTGGGAGATTGGAAGGAAACACAGGCAGTGAGGGGAGACAGGGTTCATGTAGCAATGCTGAGTGGCTTTATGGTGAGCCTGTTTCTACCAGAGTCATGAGGTCACACACGCAAAATTTTGGCCAAGTTCTATGAACAATGTATTGCAGTGATGCTGGGCTGTGGTATAGATCTTGGAATAACCAACATCACGTTTCTGTTTATGCCTTACTTTCTGATTTACTATTTATACTCTCCAGCTTATGCCTTCTGCTGCCAAGTAAACAGATACTTATTGTGGAGTCTCAGGTGCAGTGGCAATAGAGACCACAGCAGTGAGACACAGTAGGTAGATTCTTTGCTTCCAGAGTGCTTAACCCCCTCCAAAAAACAGTCTACTTTAAAAAAACACAGAGGGTTAGCTTGATCTGTGCTAAGGTAGTAAATTTTGTGCTTTCATCATTCTTGAAAAAGAAATTCAGATCTGACCAGAAGGTATTAGGGGCAGACAAATCAATGCTAAACATTAGGTGCTGTATTTCTTTGGCATTCAGGTAAGTGATGTTTCTTTCATCAAAGAGTTACAGGACTGTAAGAATACATCTAGCTGACATTTACAGGTTTCAGTAGCAATTACCCAGCGTTGTTTAGTTTCAGCTTGAAAAAAAATAGAATAGGATTGTTAGTAGCTGTGAGAGAGAAAAAAATTAATCCATTTTTGGTGGACAATAGGTCAGTCTGACAATGTCAGAATTCCATAGCTGGAAACAAGCATGTTACCAGCTTCATGCACAGATACAAGTGTATAATGTAAAAAGAGATTCAGTCTCTTTTTGCGAGATTTCCACCTTCAGAGTTAGTAGTATTTTCTTAGCAAGAGGATTAATTTTTTAAGGTAATACCAGGAGCTTCTGTTATCCAATCTATGAAAATAAGCTATTCCCTGTAGCTGGACTGCTGCTGGGAAAGAAGTTATTCCATACCACATTTTCATTTGAGGGTGTGAAATGGCATGCTGGAAAGTAGATTAGTAGATACTGGGGATGAGCATTTCACACCCCACCATTAACATCTTCACCATGCGGAGTTCAGATCACGCTGTGGGCATTGTGCTAAGATTTCCACCTATAAGGAACTTCTTCTAGCAGCAATATGTAAGAGAATTGTTGATACAACTCTATTTGTCTAAAGAAACATGCCTCGTTCATTCTGAGGGGTTATAAAGAAGTATTGTAATTTAAATGAAAAGTTTAAATGAAAGTTCTGTAAATAAATTTCCTGCTCTCTCTCCTTCTTTCTGAAGCAGACACCCATGGTACAGAGGATTTCATCATAAGGAGACATTTTTGGTCGAAGTATTATCGTTAAAATTATAGTTACACATCTGCTTAGTCATGCTTCAGTGTTCCTAAATTAGAAAGCACCAAGATATGACGTGCGATAAGAGTAATAGTTGATCTTTGTAAAATTCCTTGGAAAACCACAAAAAGAAACATGCTGATATAAACAAGACAAATGTCCTGGAGACCTGTTATGTCTGTTTTACAAGACAGTCATACAACATTCCCAAAATTAAAGAGAAAATGGGCATTATTTCACTAGACTCATAAGCGCCCATGTCATGCTGATATATGTGGGTCTAAGATGAGTTGGTCAGAATCTTGTTTCAGTACTGGGCATTAATGTACATCTGAAGATGGTATAAATTGATTGCAGAGTGTGTCAGCCTGTATTAAATGAGTGCAGTTTGATAGTGACTGCCAGTTAGTTAAGAAGAACTATTTTTAAATTAAAAAAAATAGAGATTGAGAGGGGAGAGAAAGAAGACACATGCCAGTCTGACATGGGGATCTTACTGGATTGATATTTGCTATGGTTTTGTATTTTGTAGTCCATTAACATTATGGAGCGGACATTGCAGAAATATGGAAGCTATGAAAAGTTTGAACAAGCCACTGGAGGCAGTTTGCTGACCAAAAGTCGCATCTGGAATCACGTCAGGAAGTATATGGTGAAAGAAGGCTGTCTTGGTGAGGTAAGTCATACACTTCAGAGAAGAAAGATTTATGTAGACCTTAGACATTATGCATGGATGGACCCAAGTGACCACCTGGGGGGCCTTTCCTTTGTAATTACAAGAATATTCCTTATATCATAGTTTTCTCATGACTATTCCCAGTCTAATTTTCGAACAGCTGAAACAAGGCAAATCCCTTGTGAATGCTTCAGCCATCTCTCCGAGCCTGTTTCCTGATTCGCATGTGATTGTTCATAAATTCACCTCTTTTGGGAGTACCCAAGAACGACACCCTTCCTTCCCTCCTTTTTCTCAGCTGCTTGGAGACTAGCACATTTCCATTTATTCACCAGTTCTGCCATCCGTTCTCTTGTATCAAATTATTTACACCAAAGGAAAGAGTTAAGAAAAGGCCAAGAAAAATAAGCAGCAGCCCAAGAGAGTGATTTATAAGAAGCAACACAAATGAAAGTGACATAAGTGAATAAAAATGTCTGAAAGAAGGTGGCTTGTTGAGGTGGTTTGAGTGCTGTTTTTTCCTGATTTTAACCACCTAATTTTTTAGAATCCTATGCAAAAAAAGCCCTTATTTCCTACGTTCAGGATTTTAAAAGCCCAGTTTGATGGAGTTACATAGAATTCCTTGGAAAAGTCCGAAGAAATTAAATGTATAAAAAGAGAATTATTGCAAATGAAATCACCAGCTGACACAGTCCAAGACTTGGATAAGATCACTGGCAGTGAGCAAGAGGAATCTGGAATAGGAGATCAAGAGACAAAAATTAGTTTCCCAGAAACTAGGTTTAATTGGTAAACATAATATTATTAGGAGAAACTGTTAAACTCATCACGCTTTGTTGTGAGACTATGATTTGACACAGATAACCAGGCTTTACTCTGTTTCTAAGAGTGAGGTTAATAAACGACAGTTTAGGTCAAGCAGAAAAACATTCATATTTGGTCTTTGCTGTGCTTTTATCTCCCTTTGCATTCATATTTGGCTTGGTTTGACTTAATGGAAACAGGATTCTGCATTCTCATCCAGGAACCCATGTCCTTCTTAACAAAATGCTTTACTTTTTCTGCAAAAATACATAATGTTAATGTGGTCTAAAATATTATGAAAATACTCTTTTCAGTTGAAGAGATGTTAATAAATCTAGGTGGTACCCATACTTTAAATCTAAATGTTTTGAGATTTTCCTGTTTTTCCTGCCTCTTAAATACAAGTTTTATGGGACTGATTGTTTGCTGTTGAGCTGAATGGTGAGTTTTGAATACAGGAAAGTGTCATGTTAATACCTTTGATCCCCTAGTCTTTTTTCTTTATACTAAAAAAGTGATCTTTCTTTTAAGTACTCTCCCTTGTACTCTTCTGAGCAGTACCATTTCTTGAAGCTTTATATGAAGAGGGAAAGGTGCTTAGTCTTCAGCAAAGACAGCTTCCCTTCTCCCACTCAGTCACTTGTTTAAAAAGTCTTTTTGAAGTCAAATAACAAAATATATAAATATGCATTAATTTCCCTCTCTGGCAGTTTTTGTTTTGATTACCAGTTTTCCAAGAGAAAACAGGAAAGCAAAAAGTATATTCCTGTATAAAACAAAACAAAACAAAACAAAACAATACGTGTATTTTAATTATATTTCAAGTCTGCATCATAAAACAGGAAGCAAAGTACACAGTGCTTCCCCCTCTCATTCATGTGGCTTTAGAATTGCAGCTATAAAGGTTTCAGAGAGTTAAGTATATAGATATGTAGTCAGTTCATGTGTGCTTACCTTGTATTTTTCAGCTCTCAGTAATACTAGGATAATTAGACACAGTTCAAAAAGTGGAGTTTTCTCTAATTTACTCTGCCCCCTGAATCTAGTCAGTGTTATTGTATTAAATCTTGCAGTCTCATGCCTGCGTATCTTAACCCTCTAAACCCACTAAAGCCTGAGGTTTTGTCAGCACCACAGCTGACTGGGATAAGCTCAGTGGAGTCAGAAGGGTCTCTCATAGGTGACTGCTGGTAATGAAAAAGAGTTGTGAAGGGCAAGGGCCCAAAGAGAAATGGAATAATGGAAGGGCCAATGGAAAAAGCAGTAACAGGAGTGAGAAGAGAGCTCTCTGCTACCTGAACTCTCTCCTCTTCAGATTGTGGTCCATCTCACGGAGGACCTGCTGTCTCGAGCCTCAATGACAGTGGTGAATGGTCGCCCCACTCTCACTATCAATATCTCCACTGCGCGAGAGCACTGGCTGGAAGGGATGCTGAGACATGAAATTGGTATGAGCATGACATCAGTTCTTCAGGCAAAGGGGAGTACTTGCATGCATTCTTACTTGTTTCACAATGATGGGCCAGGCACTGCACATATACAGAAGGAGGGAACATCCCTTTCTAAAGATCCTGTGCTGTAGCTGGGCTAAAGGGAAGAAGTAACCTATTTATTACTGCAGCATGCAGTAAAAGAATTCCTAGGGTTCATGTATGTTAGCATTTTAGGTCAGGTCTGAGCTGAGCTTTAGAAGTAAGTCTACCAGCTAGTCTCACTTACTGCACTGAGGTTCAGATGCCAAAGGAATCTTAGAGCAGGCAAAGTCCTTTAGATGAGGCTAGCTCAGAGACTATGCTCCAGACCATACCTTCTGTGCTGTCACTGCTCAGGGACGTTTTGGTCGTGAGAGCAATTTTAAGCTACTCTGGAGTTAAAAAAAAGGGAGGCAGAAATAGTGTGACATTCAACCTCAGCTCCAGCCATTTCACAAATCTGCTTCTGTTATGCTGCACTGCTTGCAAACGTAGGCATACTTCACCCACCAACCACTAAACTAGTGTAAGATTGCCTTGGTTTTGCATTACAGAAGGCTGGCCCAGCCCTGAGAAAAATTGCTACAAATTTTTCAGTGCGTTTGTTTTAATTAAGTACATGAAAAATGGACAAACTTGGTTAGTGCCTGAGCATCAACCAAAGAATAAACCTTGTAATTGCATTAAAGCACTGTTACTCACATTGTAAGGGGACATAGCCTCTTCCAAGGCTGCAGTAGAGCCACATAATCACCTTTGGGAGGCAGCATTTCTGCCCCCTTACTTTGATTTTCCTTCCTTCTGTCCACTGCAATGCCTAGCCTATGTCAGAGGCACTCAGCATGTAAGAGTTTTGAAAATTGCTTTCATTGGAAAGTCAAGCCCTCCTGATAATTGTATTCCTTAGGTATTTTCAAGAGTCCTGCTTGCAGCCACCATGTGAATAATTGCACAGCATATCTGTCTCTGACAAAATTCTCTGTTGTAGACAAAGCTGAAGTTGGCACTTTTCACGGTGCCCAGTCCTTCCAGCTCAGAGTTCTGAAATGGGCATCTCCTTATGTATCTTAAAATTGTTTTGAATCATTAGATACTACTGTTCTAAATCCAATATTCCTTTCTTTTCAGGAACTCATTATTTTCGAGGGTTTAACAACAATAGCCAGCCTTGGTGCAACCGGAATGGACGTAGAAAACATGGGTTAAAACCAATCAACCCTACAGAAGAGGGGCTAGCAAGCATTCACAGCGTCCTGTTCCGCAAAGACCCTTTCCTCTGGAGAGCTGCCCTGCTATACTACACGGTGTATCAGGCTAGCCAAATGTCCTTCAGTCAGCTTTTCCATGATGTGGGGAAATTTGTCAAGGACCCCAATACTAGGTGGGACTACTGTGTACGAGCCAAGAGGGGGTGGACTGACACATCACAACCAGGTGGGTTCCCGGTTTGGCTTCTCTTTTCTTGTACTTCAGGGAGGTTTTCAGAACATGCACAGAGGTCCTTCGTCATGTCACACAGGAAAACCTTTGCAAAAGGGAGAAATGGAACTCCATGTTTCTGAAATGAGGTGTCAGGAATGATATGCCAGGCTGACAATGCACGAGTGAGACTTTCTAGCTGAATCAGTAAAGGATTTTTTTTGTTGGAAGTGGAATGTAAATGCAAAACTGTGAAAAAGTTCATACAGTTTGTCTTCCTTTCAAGTTTATTGCAAGAGGTGTAATGTTGCTGTGGTTATTCACAGACATTATCTTCTGTGTTTGATTTCTTTCTCTGGCTGGTGGGTTTTGCCTTCTGGGTAGTTTTTGGAAAGGTTTTCAAAGTCTGGGATATAAATATGTAGGGTTTTTTAAATAAAATTGTCCTGCTCTTAATGGCTTCTGAGAACACGCCTTGGCCAAACCTTGATAGAGTTCAATGTATCTCTGTTCCTTTCAGGCTGTTTCAATAAGGATCAGGTGTACCTGGATGGCATCCTCCGAATCCTGAGATACAGGGAGTCCATTGATTTCCATCTTCTGACAGCCCTTGGAAAGGTGAGTGGACTCATAATTGCCAAAGGGTAGAGTTTTATCATTTCAGCAAGCCTGCCTGCAATGAGCTATGAGTCATTGTGCTTTGTTTTACTTTGATCTAGAAATCTCTGTTCTGTACAGCACCTTGAATTACACAGGGCAAGCTGCAAATATATTGAGGTCCTAAAAATTTCTACAAGCTTCTCCTCATTCCTCACTTATCAGATAAAGATTTTATGGTCATATTTCTGAGACTTTCCTCCCTTTATGGGGTCCTACCTGACTTTCAGTACAACAGACTGCCTTGGCAAAGCAGGACAGGTACTAGATAAGGTGGTTGTCCTAGTAGTAAACAAAATTAACCATTTTACTCTAACACGTCTCCTTCCACCACAAAGAGCTTTTCATCTCAAATTCCCCTCACTGATGGCACCTGTTTTTTTTCAAAAATCAAGGTTTATTTTTCCCCCCAGGATACATGGTATTTCTACATTCACATAACGTATTTTATGTCCATTCTAACTGTCATGGTTTGTTTGCTCTCAGAGTCATCCTAAGAAGTGCAGAAATTTTGTCACACACTTTCTGAACCAAATCATTGGGTTGCTAAATTTCCACAGTTCATGAAGCAGGGTTCATACTCATATAAACCAGGAGATGGATTGGCATTGTTAAGCTTGGATTTAGAGCTGGTATACCAACATTTCTGCCTGCTGGGCAGTCACTGGGTGATAGAGGGAAGGGGCATATTATGATAAAGGGTTTTGGTCCACATTTAAGTTCTGCCTTTACTGTCAGAAACATCCATGCTGATGAGCAAGAGCTGTTTAGATAACTGAACCAAGTTAGGAAGCTCTGAAAATAAAATTGCGCTGTCAAATAAGTCTGCAACTTTCTCTGAAATTTCCTTCTGCTTTAAGCCTGCTTAACTCCACGCAGCTTCTGCCTGCTAAACTACTGAACACATGCTGTTCCTGTGCTGCTTTATGCCTGTCTCTCTTCAGGGAGTCTGCAGGATTGTTAAGCTGCCTCAAAAACATACCAAGTCATTCCTCACATAACTACAGATTCCACTATAATCTACATGGCGCAGCATCCACATTAAGGGTCTACAAGCAATTCAATTCTAGCAGTGTGACAATGTATAAGTGCTTGACTATACAGCTTCTGAAATTAAGGGGTCTAAAAGTTCTGAATGTTTTTGCTGCAGACATCTTCTGCAGTCAAACTGGAAATTTGTATATAAGAGCAGTGCCTGCTCTCAGCATCACAGATAGTCCAGGTCTGCAGAGACCTCCCAGTATCATCTAGTCCAACCCCCGTGCTTAAGCAGGGTCAGCTAGAGCAGTTTGTCCAGGATCATGTCCAACTGGGCTATGAATATCTCCACTGATGGAGAATCTGCAACCCCTCTGGGCAGCCTGTGCCAGTGTTTTACCACCCTCACCATAAAAAAAAGTGTTTTGTGTTCAGACAGAATTTTGTGTGTTTTGACTGGTATCCACTGGCTCTTGTCCTGCTAGTGTGCACTGCTGTGAAGAGCACAACTCCCTTGTCATTCCTTCCCATCAGGTGTTTATACACACTGGTAAGATCCTCCTGAGCTTTCTGTTCTCCAGGCTGAACAGTCTCAGCTCTCTCAGCCTTTCCTCATGCAAGAGATGCTCCAGTGCCTTAATCATCTTAGTGACCCTTCACTGGGCCTGCTCCAATATCTCCATATAGTCTCATGAAATAGAGAAGTATGAAACTTGCACTGAGGTTTAGCCTGTGGTTATTATGTGTTTATCACCACTTTAAAAGGGGGATTTATTTGGGGGTTTTAGGGTGGAATAAGAGGATTGGGTTATTCTAAAGGGAGTATTAAGTTTGGCTGGCACATCTTCCACGTTAGAAGAAAAAGCACAGGATTTAGACATAAGGAAGCCCAGCATTTAGCGGGGAAATTTTTTTTGGCTTTTCAAGATTCTCAGTGTTTGTTGTATTATAACAAGTGAGTTCATCTTTCTCAGCATGCCTACCATGGCCATATTTTCATTGTAAATACAATAAATGTATGAATATAATAGGAAACTGAAGCAGTCAACTGTACTGCTGACAATGAATTGCTCCTGTACTTTAGTAGGTAGTTATCACAGTCGTAAAATCAGAGCATTGCTTTCCATGTGAATGTATTTAAAACAGAGCCACACTGGAGTTTGTGTCTTCTGTTCTCCTCCAAGAGCTAGAGATCTGGCTGGTGAAGGCAGCCATGCCTTCCTCATGCTTCTAACATTACTTAACAGTGTAGAAGAGCACAATCTGTGGAAACAGAATACATGCAAGCTGTTCAAGATACCTAGAGCTGAGTAAGGAAAAAACCTGAAACCTGAGAAGAGATGCTTTTTAAAAGGAGCAGTTTGAAAACTTTGCAGGAAAGAATCAAATATGGGAAACACTGCAAAACATTGTGGTAATCATGTGCAGGTAAAACTGAAGAGAAATAGAATGCAGGTATTGGGTGCACTTCAGTATAGCATAACTACCAGACTTTTAAAAAGCAAAAGCAGCAAAATATCACCTACTATTGTGCTTCCCAAGAAACATATGAACACATTAAAAAGAGCATAAGTTTTAGCCTCAGTCTTTTTTATCTACTACAATGACTTTGACTACATATGGTAAGGAAGACAATTGGTTTCCACAATAGAATAAGATTATGTTTTTCTTCTCAGGATGACAACTTTTGTCATTTTTTAGCAATTGCAAGGACTGGAGACATCCATCCCATTCAAACCATACCTCAGATCACAGATACATGTTTCTTGCTTCCTGCAGTAACAGAAACCCCTGAACATAAATATGAGGGGGAAAGGGTCCTTTTTCTTTCCTTTGGAAGGAAAAGAAGTAGAATTTAATCTCATTTGGTGCTGTGCCTTCAGACTAAGAGGAGATGGTATGAATTTGTATAGCTCCACTGTATCTATTTCTAAATAGGTTAATCAGGTGTAATGCCACACCATCTTTAAACAGCAGTATCTTAGAGACTTAAGCAAGCCTGGGCATGGATATATGTTTGGTTTTTTTAATTCAGATGCATGTTGTCATTGCAACTGGAACAGCACACATGTACTCAGATGCAGATTCATTCACTGCAGACTTTGTTGCTGTTATCATCAGTGAGATATGAACCTGTCTCTATGGATAAGGTTTAGCAATTTGGATTACACTGTCCTGTCTTTCCAGAGAGCCCTTCCATGCCCCTTACACATTGCTGACTCCTTCAAACTCACTTTAATCTTTTCTGAATAGAAACCATCACCTGCTAAGAGGGCAGGCTGTTTCCAGGGAACTCAGGCCACACAGTGCTCAGCTCCTCAGAAGAAATGTGGGTAAAAAGATTTGAAGGAGCAGGCTCCACCCTCAAGCCACCTGGCACAAGCCCCTGTGAGGAAATAGGATGAGCCAGTTAGTAGCCACAGCTAGGCTTGTGTGCAGCCACAGCCTGTACATATGCTTCTGTCTGTAGGGTGCCCAGAACACACAGCTTGTAGACAAAGCAGCAACCACACAGATTTCATCACTCTGGATAGCTGCCCAAGGACTCCTGTTCTGTGCTTGCAGGGGCAGCTTGTGCACAGCCGAATCAGTCATCCTTTCTGAACCATCATTCACAGCACTTTGGGTTACTGTGACTTGAAGTCTTTAGTACCAGAATCATAAGACTATGAAGAAAAAATTCCACTTTTCGTTAGGAAAAATGGTATGGGTAGTAGCTGGAAAACCTTTGGGAGTTTGACACCTATACCCAGAAGGCTCTGATGCCAAGAGGCAAATGCATTCTCCACCCTTCTATTGAATGGGGAAAACAAAACCCAAAAAACCCATGTGCTCCATCCTTTCCCTCTCTATTCCTGCAGCTGCTGTAGATCATTCTCATTCAGGTTCTTAGGAGTCTGTTTACTGATAGACTCAAAACCAGAATCAGGAATTATGCAGGCATTTGCTAAAACTGCAGTTTTTTGCATCTTCCACTGAGACACACAATTGGCTTGTGTTTTTAAAGGGTTCTCCAAGATTTTAATTTCCACTGCTCTGAAATATTTTCTCATTTACTAGAAATAATTTAGAGCAGCAGCAGAAAAGCAACAGAACTGCACTACTAAATTAACCCATGTCCTTCCTTACAGATCTCATATGAGGATGTGGATCGCCTGAAAGGATTAGCTGTGATTGAGAATATGAGGGTGCCACACTTTTTGCAAGACCATGCCCGGTATATGGAACACTTGGAAAAGATCATGGAAGTCAATATGTTGACTGATGAGGAGCTCCAGGATCTCATAAATTAACAGCAGTAGCCCACCATTCACTTACCATGTGAGGTTGTAGAACTGGACTTCCCAGAGCTTGCAGAAATTAACTTCTGGAGGGGTGGGAGGGAAGGGCAGCGAGAATATGTGGAATTCAGAATAAGCCCTTTTACATTCCTTTTGCATTGTGATTGTATACTGATGATTTTTTTAAGGGGTTCTGCATTTTTCTTAAATTTGGCAGTGATCTGTCCAATGATTCACTTTGGTTTGTATGCTAGGTATAGTGGTTGATGCTGTCTCTTGTAATATACTGCCTTTTCCCACCCAGGTTTAGAAGTGGAGGAAAGGAGAAAGAAGAAAAAGTCCCTCTTAGTTCACTTGTGTTTGCCCTATCTTTGGTCATAGCTTTCACAGTTCATGGTAATGGAACTGCTGTAGATTATTCTCCATTGCTGTCTGCACAACTTCCCGTTTAATCATCATTGCACTGAAAAAAGAAAGTTTAAAAATAGTGCACAGTCTTTGTCCATAGGATCAAAGCTCTGTAACAATATAAAAAGGTTTGGTTTGTTGGAGTTTTTTTGTGAGAGAATTGGCATTTTATAAGGAAAAGAAAAAAATATAGGTATTGCTGTCTTAATGACTATAAGCAGGTAGCAAAGTTATTCCCCTTTATTCCCTCAAAAATTTATACTGTTCCACATCTTTATCTGTACTGTATATGTTTGAAGAAGCTGAATTCTGGAAAGAGTCTCCCTCCTTTGAGGACAATCACAGCATATCTAGGAAGTTCAACACGGCAGTGTTTTGGAACAAGGGTCGAACAGAACTGTGATTTCATGATTTATGTGTTCTAGATGAATTCAGGAACACAGGGCCATGATTCAGCACAGCAGGCAACACTCACTTCTTTGTCAGGCCACCTAGGCCTACCGAGGGTCAAGTCAACCTGTTGACCTGTACCTCCATGCTACAACAAGCTGGAGCTTGCAGAGCTCGTTGAAGAAACAGCATGTGATGGGGGAGAAGACTCACAAGTGTCCTATTGCTGTGCTCCAACAGAAGTGCCACACCACTCTGAAGCAACTTTACCTCTGTTCTAACTGCTGGTGCTATATCCAGGACGAAGAAGAGAAAGCTCCTTACTATAAGGCTTTCTCTAGTCACTAGATGATGCAGGAGAGCTTACTCCATAAACTATATTTTCTGATTCCAGAGTATTATCAAGGCAAATTGAGTTTTGCACCTATAAGTATTCTGACTAAAGGTTTTGTTTTAGCAGACAGCATTTTACCAGGGCTTCTCTGAACTCCTGGGAAGCAGCTGTGGTAGGAGAGGCTGAACGGGAACTAGTGGGAGCCTTGGTCAGGGCTTCTGCCCTTTCTTACCCTTCTGCCTTGGCCTGCTGGTAACAAGCCTGGCGTAAGATAAAGTGTGTAGATTGAGCCAAGGTTTCCTCCACACCACATCTGTATTGATCTGAGCCATGGAATTCCTCCCCATTTATCCAGTTCTTTAATGAAACAAATGGAATAATCCTCCCACCTTATTTAACACCCAGGATATTACCAGCCATGTCAGTAAAGTCTTGAGAACACATTTTCTGATCCATAGGAAAATACGTGAGGAAAAGCTCTCAGTTGGCTGAGTCCTGAAAGTTTATGAATAATCCCATAGAATCCCAGCTGCCTTTCAGATACTGTTGCAGTTGTGTTTGCAGTGGCTGGCTGGCTGACTGCTGCAAAAAAGATGTGCTCAGCAAGCATAAATTTACTAAATTTAGTTATTTTCAAAGCAGCGACCAATAACTGCTTGCTGCAGCCTTAATTTTGTGTTGTCAGTGTTGTTCAGGAGCTGAAAGCCTTTCAGCCTCTATATGCTGAAATAAAAGCCCTGTTTTATCTCCTTTCCTCCTTCAGGCTGTCTAGTCTGATCACTGGTGACTTGGCCTGCTGAGCTTTGTTTTAGAGCTGTGCAGAGTAGACACGGTGTTGCAGCAGCCTGACAGGAACCATTTGCAGTCAGTCTTGCACCCATGTGCTCCAGATTTTGTCTCCTTTGCCAGAAACAGCAAGAAAGTCACATGTGGCTGAGGTCAAGCCAAAGATTGCAGTGAAAAGCTGTCTTTGGAGTAAATCAGAGAGAGATCATTAGAGCTACACCATGGAAGAATCTGGCTCACTTTGCTGACCCAAGAATATGCATAAGGGGCAGTCCTTTAAGAAAAAGACAATTTTGAACTGATTGTATTCGTGCAGGAGAGATCCCTGCCTTCCTCCACTGACTTCTATGTAAGGAAAGTGTTTTTCCTCCTCCCCCACTAATAGTGTCTTGTAATGTAAGTGTATGTGCATAATGTGACCTCAAAACCAGGAGGCCGTGCTAGCCACCCTACTTTGCTACAAAGGCCATGCCTACAGCCCTTTGTCCAACTGCCACTTGACTCTTTTACCATTCTGTAGCCCTGAACATTACCAGAGGCCTTTTTGCTTTACTTGAAGACCTGCATCACATTTCTTCAAAGCAGTAGGTGCCATTAAACCACTGTCCATCATTATTCTACAAATAGATTTGCCTGGTGCAAGTTTAGAGTCTGGAAGTGGTCAGCATCAATATGTAGCAATAGATGAAGCTGTCAGCTTCTGTTTTCAGCATCGGATTTGCCGTTCCTCCTTCGTAAAAGTGTTTCAAATTTTGAAGTGTAACTTTTGTAAATTTTCCTGGACATTTGTTTTTCACTGTGAAGAGGCTGGTTACTAAGTCGTGATGCTGAAGTTCTGTGATAGAGTGTATGGACAGAAGTGCATGTGAGCTCACGTCACTACAGTTTCATGATGTCAGTGATGTGTTGACTGTCTTACCCAGCAGTCTGGCATGGTTACTCTGCTGTGTATCCATGTCTCACTATGTTATTCCTATACAGAAATCTGGTCAATATTGAAAAAGCCTCCCTGTTTCACCAGACCAATTTTACAAGGCATTTTGTACAACTTTTACAAATAAAGACAAATGAAAGAATGACAGAGATGAGAGTACTAAAGTGTTACATCTTATTGTGTGAGAGCATTACTCTTTCAATGCCCTTACCTGTACAGCAAGTTGGACATCCCAAGGTATGCATGGGAGAGGTGCCTTGCTGACATACTTTTGAAAAACATCACTTGAGGTCAGAGTCCTGAAGGGTCTGTTGAAGGCTTACATCGGGTACAGCTCCCCCCACTCAGTCAGAACACCTGGCTGCTCACCAGGAAATTACCTCCCTCTTCTTACGATATGGTCCAAGGTAGCATTGGAGCCACTTTGCTGCGATGCATTTCTCACCACCATCCATGTGAGAAATGGCAAGAATCGAGCTGTTCCTGGTCACTCCTAGGGGGATCCCAGTACAACCCCACTCAGCATCAGTATGGACCCAGTCGGTATCAGAAGGCTTCCAGATCCTGCCCAGAGGATTCCACTTGCCACCAGCTTAGGCCTAGTTACATGGTCACTTCCCGTTCATTCCCCAGGATTTCATTAGCTCACAGCCACTCCTGGTCACCCTCAATGTGTTCCCAGTTGCTCCCATTATGAGCCCAGTCACACCTAGAATGCTCCCAGTCACTCCCAGTTGCTTCCAGCAGGATCCCACTTTCTCATAGTTACCCTCAGTGTGCTCCCAGGATGATCCCAGTAGGATCCCAGTCACCTTCAACAAGACCCCAGCAGCTCCCAGTATAGCCCAGGTGCTCCCAGCATGTTCCTAGTCATTCCTAGGAGGAACCCAGTCACTCAGTGTGGTCCAGTTGCCTCCATTATGATCCCAGTTGCCCCCAGCATGGCCCCAGGATGATCCCAGTCACCCCCAGTATGATGTCAGTCACTCCCAATATGATGCCAGTTGCCCCCACTCTGATTCCAGTATGAGACCCTGTATGCTCACAGACTTCCCCAGCATGGCCCAGGCACTCCTAGTTGCCCTGAGAGTTGTCCCAGTCTCCCCAGCACAGTTCCAGGATCTCCCAGGATGATCCCAGTGTGTCCCCAGCTACCTGCCAGAATGGTGTCCATAGCACCAGGTCACCACCAGTGTGGTCCCACTCATGCCCAATAGGACCCCATTCACCTCGTGCATGAGCCCACTTGCTCCCAGTCTCCTCCTGGATGGTTCAGATCACTCCCAGTGGGATTCCAATATGATCCCTATCTCTCCCAGTCACTCCCAGCACATATTTCTGAGCAAGACGTTGATGGAAAGTTTGGACTCTGCGAGACTGAAACTGGGTCTATACTGAGTGATGTGTGTCTAAAGAAGGAAATAGCCCATGACCATCTGCAATATAGAGCAGCAAGAGTATGGTGAATACAAAAAGTGAGTGGTGGCTTTTGCTTTCCCCTTGAAGCTTATAAACAGCAGCACAAACAAATCTCTGTGCTTTCCTGCTCTGCTCTGTGTACCATGTTCACCCTCGCAGATACCTGTGACAGCCAAGGCTGCACATAACTTTTCTTTTGCAGCCTATAAACTGCACCACCAAAAGCTAGAAGAGTGATTTACCACCTAGCTATCTGCAGCATATGTACCAGCATATGTGCAGGAAAGCACACAGACCTGTTTGTGCTGCTGTTTATAAGCTGCAGCCTTTCAACTATATACAGGAGCTATGTGTGTTTTCCTCAGCTCCATGTACCTGCACATTGTTACACACCTGGACATCTCATATAAGTAAGGATAACATTTAAGGGTTGTAGCTTCTTTTTAACATAAATATTTCAAAAGTCATTAGCTGATGTGTCTTGCAAGGTGCTAAATATTATCATATCACATTCTCCCTCCCTTGCTAGCTAGTTTGGAAAACATCTGCCCCTTCCCAAATCACTACTGTTCTCCCTCACCCAGTGCATCCCAGAAACCCTTTCTACAGTGTCAGTAGGGTGAAATACAGTGTTCGAACATTGCTGGACTGGTATATTTCAATACTGAATAAATTTCAGATTTGTTACAGGTCATTTGCAGGACTACTGCAACTCACAAAGCCTTTATGCAGCACTGGCTTGTGAAGCTGGATGCCCTGCCAGCAGTTTCAGGAGCAACTTGAGCACCAAGGTTCTCTGCTCCTGCCTGTGTAGAAAGGAGGGAAAGATGGAAATCATTTATGCTGGAAAT